CTGTTGGACCTGGGATGCCTAAATGTGATTTAAATAAACAGTCGTCTCGAAAAGAGTAATTTAAAAAAGGAGAACACTGGGAAAGGGAAAAAAGTTGACTTGATTTGAACGCGCAGGGGGTGAAAAACGAATGGGCTCTTGCGAAAAGCAGAACTTGGGGGCTCACATACATTGAGCATTAAATCATTTGCCCTACCAGAGAGCCGTCCTTGCCAAATACTTCCCTGGTCTGTGAAAATCTGCATCGTACATTCTGGGCGGATGACAAAGAAATAAGAGAATTTGTTGTTTGACTATGGGTTGAAAACAACAACTCGCGGATTCTCCTTTAATTTTGGGACGCCGATTGAAATATCCCAAATTTCGGCAGCCTAGACTAACATTTCTGTTGACAATGTTCCACTTACGTAGCCGTTACGAGAGATGGCCAATTAGATTTCATCCCCTGTCATACCTATTCCTCTTAACAAAGACTCCTTGCCCGCGATCTCACATCACTTAGTATCATTACCAGGTCTCCCTTCAAATCCCACCTCTTTTTGGTCACCACCCTACTTCCACCGCTTCGTCCGGTTGCTTAATGCCCACTTGATCACATATATGAAAAAGTACGGAGCTGATTGTAATTCGTCTACGCTAATATGAACTGTCAGCCATTACAGAAAGCATGTTCAACATTTCTTGAAATTCTGAGGCATCCAAGGTGTCGAAACTGTTTTATTAATAGTGTTATTCAATATTTCAATGTTATAAAAGAACCATTGGAGGATTCTGCAAACAAAATAGCCCGAAGGAAAGTTACCTCACGCTTTTTGGCCTCATTTTTGGAGTATTTCGGAAATAGGTAGCTCAAAATGTTTCCACAACACGAGGCCATGTGCACCATAGGGCCTTCTTTGCCTAAACTAAGGCCGGCCGCGACACCGAGAATCATGCCCAAGGACTTGATTAGTAGCGTCCATTTTCCGAGGTATCCACGGATGATGAAGCCACTGAGAATAGTTTTTATTTCAGGAATACCACTACCTGAAGAGGGGCAGGGGGAAGAGAAAGGCAAGGTGATATGCGGAACAAAATGATGAAAACACAGATAGACCCAGCCATAATCTGACTAGCTCTGATAAACCGACGCGTTCGCAACCGAAGCACTTAGCACGGCCAGTGAGTTAAGTAAACAGGATGTAACAACATCTAAAATGTATGCAGATTCCTACAGCTGCAGCCTCGGCCTTTGTCATTTCGTCACAAACCTGGGCAAAGGACGGGCGCCATACGCAACATGCGCGAGCAAACACAGTGAAACCTCGAAAGAATGGTCGCCACCGTGCGATTATTTATCCACATATTGGCTGAGGGTCATGATGTAAAAAATGGAAATGAAAAGCACAAGAACACTGTAAGTGGGAAAGAGGCGTTTTATGTTGGAACTCGGTAAACACGTTGCGTGCGTCGTGAAAAAAAGAAACCAGTTGGGGCTAAGCGTTGCTGACACGCAGGTTAGACAGCTTCCATGACACATGTTTGCTGTTAAGCAGTGGAACCTGGCGAAACATGTCTCAGAAGCTGTCGCCTGAGCTTAATTTTACTGGATAAGTACGTGAAACCATGCAAACTCCGTATTTCTGAAGGTATATCAACCACTGCTTGAAAGGAGAGTATGATCCACTGTCGGAAATGAAAGAAGTTATTACTTTAGAAGAAAAACGTTATTTCCTCATAAAAGGGATTGCTACAGACAATGGAAACCCCCTTGTAAATCGGCACCTACCCGAAGATCGATAATGCACATCAGAACAGGAATAGAACTCAGATGACCGCGTCAGCTATTTACGCAAAGCATCGAAAAGGGGAAGGTGAAAGCGTGCCAACATAGAAAGAGTCACGACGGCAATATGAATAGATTGAGCCAGCTCAGAATAATCAGCTGTTATCACGCGTAGAAGTGAGGTAATAGTGAGTACAGTTCTTATTAGGTCGTACCATTTGAAAATGCTAAACAATCAGATGTTTAATGGTACGGCACACTACACCAGCAATTCCATTTAGTCAGCTAAGGCCGATCTTCGTACAGACTAATACCCAGAGGGCTGCGACAACAGCACCATTAATACTAGATGGGACGAGAACCGGCGCTTTCTATGTGGTATGATCGTTTTTTCTCCCTCCCTCTCTTCTTCTTGTCTTATACAAGCGGCTTTACAATACTCACCTCTAGCTTGTTTCCTTTTTAGTAGTGCCAACTGTCATATTTAACGGCCACACCATAGGCCAATGTGCGCTGTGTGTGAAGTGGCTGATGAGTGGACTGGCAGTCAGAAAACGACGACTCTTCCTGATCCCTGGTTGCATAAATCCTGGTGTGTGTGTGTCGACGGGGTTAGGTCGTGCTGTGGAGCGCGCAGACGGGTTTGCCGTCCTGTCAGTCACTGTGCCCATCGTACATCAGTCTACCGATCAGCTAGGTGGTGGCTTGATGATGGTGGTGGGGAAGAGAGTGATGTCGAATCTCAACGCATTTCTTTCCTATAAACAATCTGACGCGCTTGAAGCTATCACGGTGCGCTTAAAGTCGTGGCTTGGAGGGTTTCTAACTGACGTGATAACTCGGACCGCACAGTCAATCAAGCGTGTTCTTTG